TCATAAGGTCTGTTCTATCTCGTTTTGCGCATACTAAATGTTGGGCAACCCACTGCACATACTGTAACGGCGGCCATTTTTATGTTGTTTACAATTCTTGTGCTGTTTATATAGATTAAGGGCCGTATGCAGAAACGTTGATTTATTTATAAATTTAGCTTATCAATGGATATAGGTTTTTGCACGACATGGCAACGCAGTACTTTTCTTTAAAAACTGTTGTTTTATAGAATAAATTGGGTAATTATCTTTTAACTTTTATATTTTCCCTAAAAAAGTCGATTTCTATACATTGACATTTTAAATTAGACATAAAACAATTAAAATTTCATCAAGATTTATTTGACATTTGTGACATTTGCTTTTAACCATAGAAAATAATTTCGCTAATATAAGTCATTGCAATGACATGTTTACTGGATTTGTTTTTTGACCAATAAAATCGTCTAAAATGTAAATCGGTTGATATAATTTATATTAGTCGTTAACGACTGATTCAAAATATGGATAAAAATAGTCAGTATTTTTGTGTGTAAATATATATGAAAAAATAAATTCAGAAGGTAAACATCCCTATAACAAAGATATAATTAAAAAATTATATTTAAAAAAAAATAAAATTACTACCATGTTAATTATATCAAATATCTTTGCTGTTTTTTGATTTATAACTTTAAAATAATTAGCCATAACTTTGAACTTGGGTGAAAATATTTATTGATTATTTTTTTTATTATTAAAAACATACATACCTTCCATAAATGTTTACATTTTAATATAATACCTAGATAATTAAAAAAAAATACTATTTAATAAATAATAAGGATTATAAAATAAAACCATAATTCAGTTTAAAAAATATTTCTTATTTTTTAAATACTTTTGAAGAATTTTAAATTTTTGCCCATGTTCAACTTATTTTCTGCTTTTAAATTTTTCAATTATGTGCTTGCTCTTCAAATAGAAGCAGTAGGTAAAGGGCCTAATAAGGTAGAGGGGACTTTTTTCTTAGGAAATTTACACTCTATTTATTTTTGGGCCCAAATATACTATTTAATAGTTAATAGTAATAGTAATAGTAATAATTAAACATAAAAGAAAATGAAATGAAGGGGCAACAACATGGGTATTTCAAATTGAATATACATATTATAATATTATTAACAGTTTTTGCCAAAAATACATGTTTAAAAGGCATTTAATAAAAAAATAAAAAATACACCCTATAGGTAAAAACAATTGTTTTTGCTTGAAATCAAAAACAGGCACAGTGTATGAAACTATTTTTTTATATTTTGGTTCAAATTGTTTTTATCAATTATTTATTTGACAAATAATAAAAAATATCCTCTGAAATAATATTTTTATTTTTAAAATAAAATACACAGGGTAAAAAATCTGGACTAGATCTACAACATTTAAATTTTAAAATTTGCTTTATTAAAGTAACAATTTAAAATTTGTGTACCTATATTTTTCAATATAAATTATTTAAAAGTGTATAAGGCATGCATTATTTTTTTCATTGGGTTTAATTTAACGTTTTAGAAAAGCAGGGATTCTTGCCCCATTTCCAGCAAGGGTCTAGCCAGGATTTTGTTCTGGGGCAGGCATAGGTAAATTATATTCATGCTACAAAAAGTTTCAAGACTCCACCTCCCACCCATTTTTTAGAACAATTTTTCTCGACATGCAATTTTTAAGTATGGCTCCCTCCTTTTCATAAATAAAGTTTATTCTGAACCTATAATTTATGTATATCAAGCATTAACTAACATATGTTTGTTTCTTAATTTTTGTAAATTCTTGTCACAAATTTTAAATGTCTTTTTTCCCTCTTATCATTGCGTTTATTTTTCAAAACATTTGCCTAAATGCCTAAAAAGGTGTTATTGGTACCTGTAAAAGAATAGGTAAAAGAACCTTGCCTTTTAGAAACAGGTCTAGTATTCCTATAACTATAATATAATTATTATAATTAATGAATCTTTTATAAACACTTTAATAAAATTTCCACCAACTTCAACAAATCTTTGTTCTTTTCAGATACGTTAAGCCGTAATTTTCGTTTTCCATACCTTCTAATGCAAATTTACTTATACCAGAACACATTGCAAACTGCGAACATAACCAAATTGTGCATGTTTTATATTGCCGCAATCCTCTTCAAACCAAGTTTTTGTTAATAATAAGGTTTAGTCAGTTATAAATGTATTTATGTGTATATTTAATAATACATTTTAAAAATGTATTACTCTTATAATGTAATAAACACATATTTATGTATAGGTATGTAAGATAATCTACAAATCTTTACTGTCATTTAAAATTTGCCATGTTGCCAAATTGGTTTAAACTTCTCACTGTATATGCGTAAATCAGTTGATATAAGTAAATCAACGTTTCTGCATACGGCCCTAATAATCGTTTTAAACGTTGTGTTTCTTACAGAGGCATTTGCAAGTATCAGGGCTGTCAACTTTAAAATATCAATTTTAAGTTTAATTTGTGGGTATGGTAAATTTATGGGTTTTGTTAAATTAACCTTAAAATTGACATTTGACAGTTTGATGACAGCCCTGATAGAATAAGGTATTTTTTTACGAAAGAGGAGTAATGGTTGTCCTTAGCACTTTAAGGTCTCATTTGAGGCTTACAAGAAGCACAACATTTAAAACGATTTTTAATCTAAATAAACATAAAAATGGCCGCCTTAAGAGTCTGTGCAGTGGGTTACCTAATTTTGTGATTTTTATCATGCGCGAAATGTGATACAACCCATATTTTCGATCTTTGTGAATTGCAATAACGTAAAATGTCGCTAAGCTAGTGGAAATTGAAAAAGTCTTTAATTTCCCAGGTTATTTTAATGGGAAAACTTTAAAATCAAAATAAAAGTACTTGGGAGTAAGTTGAAGGTATGTATTTTACGGTCACTGAGTATTAATAAACATTTTTGTGATATATAGTTTGTGATAAATTTTAGTTTGTTATATTTTATTTTTATTTATTGTATACAACTTGTACGCTTCATAATAAAATGTTTGTCAGTAAAGGATTTTCTTTTTTTACAAAAAATCAGTACTGCTACATTATATGTGTTTTAGGTCGACAAATCTACAAGTTACACCAGTCGACAGTTTCAGAATTATACAGGGCACTTTTTAGAGATATTTTAGTAAAGTAAAACACGGAGTTTAGTTATTTTTAGGTTTTCAAATGGAAACAATCGTTTCAGTTTGAAAACTTTTGACGATTTCGCCTATCAAAACCTAAACATGTTTTTTTTTATTAAACAAATATTAGAAATATTCCCCAACACCACAACAAAACACCTTATAAATTAAGGCTGGGAATTTTTTAGTTTAAGAAATTCGAATACTCGTTTAAAAATTATTTCGAGTATTCGAATGTTCAGGTATTCGAAAATTCGTGTACCTACTCGTGTATTCGAATATCGAGTACATATTAGAATATTCAAATAATCGAATTTTTATATTCGATTATTAAAATATTTACCAGGTCCAGTGAAGTTTAACTAGTTTTAGAGATTTTTGAGCCAATCTCGATATTTGATAAAAATTTCTTATAATATTTAATATTGTATCTGTTTTTATTATATAATATAATAATAATAATTATTATAAAAAGTTATTATTAAATCTCTAGGCTATACATTTTTCTCCGCAAAAAAACGAGTCTCGAGTCTCCTATGAAATAATACTAGTTTATCATCCTTTAAAAGCTTTCTTCAAAAATCAGCTCAATTGATTAAAAAAAAATTAATGATCGCACAATAATTTTGAAAATTCAAAAAATGGTTAAAAATTTTGACTTAAAATTCGAACAATTTTTGGTCAAAATTCGAACATTTTTTTGCTTACCACGGTAAATTTTTGTAATAGGTTTCTTAAAATTTCAGCTCTGAAGTAAAATCTACTTACCCCTAGATAATCTCTAATATCTAGTAGATATAGGCAAGTTGCCAATACCTTCGGATTTCGGGATTTTTGGCTAGAAATTCTAAATTAAAATTGCACGCAAATTTTGCCTACGAATACCTATTAATTAGTAATTACTTTTCGCTAGTGTCCAAAACGAAGCGACTTCAGTGTGACCCATTTGTTTGCAACTCACCCCTGTAAAATCTTTATTTTTGTGCGATTTTAACCGAATTTTTTTAAAGTGTAACTAGATCTTGATAAACTGTAATTTTTGAAATTAATTTTATTTCAATGTTTTTTTTCATGGATAACTGAAGATAAAAATAGTAGTTATTATTGTGCATTTTTCTACTTAAAATTTTTCAATAAAATTTGTGTTGTTGTGAGGGGTGGTGAATCCAGTGCTTAGATTTTGTTTAAAAAAATCGTTAATATGAATTCTTAAAAATGATATAGTAGGCCTTGTATTTTGTAAAAATCGAGATCTACACTTTAAAACAAATCCGGTTAAAGTCGCACAATAAATAAAGATTTTACAGGGGTGAGTCGCAAACAAATGGGTCACACTGTATATCGATTTTTTATTAATTTTTTTAAAATTTCCAAGCGACCATAAAAAATTCATTTTTTAAGCTAAAACTAAGAAAAACTCATTAATTTTTTGTGCACAAAAATTTACTGTGGCGAAAAAATTATTATTTTAAATTAGAATTTGATTATTTTTGTAATTTTCAAAATTCGAAAGTTACCTAATTTTTTATGAGAGTTCTTAATTTTTTTTATAAATTAACATATTTGAAAACAAGTTTTTTTCATTACTCTTACATATACTGATTTAAAGTGTTTTAATATTCGAATAATTTATAATCGATTTCCACCTGTATTCGAATAATTCGTAATCGATTCCCAGCCTTAGTATAAATATGGTAGATGCCAACATCGTTAGCGAAAAGTACTTTTTGTGTGTTTTGTTTTGGTGTTGGGGTATACTTCCAATAATCTGTTTAACACCTCACCAAAGTTGTCCTTTTTGAAGCCCGTTTTTTTTATGTTCAGGTACGCGCCACGCGACTACGGCCCGCAAAACATCGCGCCTATGCCTCCGATGCACCTCCCGCCTCAGCGACGCTTCGACGACACAATAGCGCCGCCCGGGGTCGAGGAACCGCCCGTTCCCGGCCTGGAGAACTCCCCGCCCCCCTTCGACCGCTACCAGCAGAAACCAGCGCCGGAGAACAGCGCGCCGAGCGAGGATAAAAGACCGTTGGAGAGGAGAGACAAGAGTAGCGATAACAGAAGGCGACGGCACGAAAGGAGGAGTAGATCGTTGGAGAGAGGTGGCAACAAAAGTTCGCCCAAAAAGAGGTCTAAATCGCGGGAACGCGAAAAAGACAGTCCGGATAAGCACAAGAAGAAAAAACGCGACGATTCCAAGGAGGAGTTGAGCGATGACGAGAGGTCCAAGAAGAAGAGCAAGGATAAGAAGAAGAAGAGGGACAAAAAGGATTCCGAGAAGAAGCGGAAGAAGGAGAAGCACCACCATAAAGACAAGAAGCCGAAAGAGGAGTTCAAACAGGTGATAATCAAGAAGAAGGACGATGAGGTTGAAGAGGAAAAGAAAGCGACGACTCCTAAGGAATTGACGCCGGAGAGGTTGGAGGCGACGCCGAAAAAAACGGAGCTTTACGATGACATCGATCGGAGTGTTATGGAAAGTTACGACAAAGCGGAGGAAACAGCGGAAATAAAGGAGGCGGAAGTTCAATCTGAAGAACCCGAAGAGGGCGAGATCTCGAACACGTTCGAGGAAGGCGACGAGTCCGAGAAGGACGTGTTGGAGCTGCACTCGAGCGATATGGACTTGAAAGTGGAGCTGGATAAGAACGAGGTGCTGGCGCCTGTCCCGGAAAAATCCAAGTGGGAGTGCGAGGAGGAAGGTTCGTATTCAAATGCAAGTCCTAAAGATTCCAGCAGGTTCGATTCGAAGACGGACAAGTCCGGCAAAGTGACCAATGAGGTGTTGAAGCGCGCGGAGAACGCGATTTTCGCTAAAGCGATCAACGCGATTCGTCCGATCGAGATCAAAAAGATCAGTTCGGATCGGGTGAAGTTGTATTCGGGAGAGCATGACTCGATGGAGCTGAGTAAGGAGGAAATAATAGCTCCGATTGTTGCAGAAGCGGAAGTGAAGACGCCGGCGCCGAGAGTTTCGGTGAAGGAACGACTAGGGGTGAAAGTTGCGGACGATGGGGGAGATCGCGTGGTGAAAATGGGGCGGAACAGGTCGAGAAGCGCGTCGCCGTTCAGGAGGCGCGGTTCTCAGGGTTCGAACAGGCACCGAAGGTCCAGATCGCGGCACAGGAATCCTCCCAGAGAACAGCAACACTCTGCCAGACGTACGGATCGCGATCGCGAAACGCGACGCGAAGATCCGAGGAAACCCGAGCGGAAATCCGATGCCAACTCGCGATCGAAGCAAAGGGAAAAGTCGAAACCCGTAGCGCCGGAAAAGAGAAAACGGTCGCGCAGTAAAACACCAAGCGCCGACGAGCAAAAAGCGAAGAAAAAAGATAAAAAACACAAGAAAGAGAAAGACGCCAAGCCGAAGACAGAAGATGAGGAGCAAAAACTTAAGCAGACCGTCGAGAAGCGCAAAGCAACGATAGACGAATCGAGTTTCGAGCCAGATTACGATCTGGAATCCGAGTCGGATAAAGATGAGTCATCGAAAAAACCCGAGGCTAAAAAAGAGAAGGTGGAGGAGAAGTCTTCGAGCTCCGATTCGGACTCTTCCAGCAGCTCGGAAGACCGGAAGAAGAGGAAGCACAAAAAGCACCGGAAGAAGAAGCGGAAGGATTCTAGCTCGAGCAGTTCGGAATCGGAGAGCGATTCGAGCGAGGACGAGAAGCAAAAACGGAAAAAACACAAGAAAAAGCAGAAGAAAAGGAAGAAGTCAAAGCATAAATAGCACAGACAAAAGGTGCTTAAAAAGTTACTGTCGTTTATCGCCGTTTAGGTTTTTTTTTGTATATAGCTTGTCTATTTACTGGAGATGTAGCAAACAAAACATTGTGTTGTAATGTAATTATTATGTATGATAATATCAAATAATAAAAGTGTAAAATTTACTTTACTTTGAAATTTATTTCATTACACCCACACTTAGTAATATAAGGTACCAGGTAAGTAAAAAACGGGTATTAAACTTCTATCACTGTAAATAATAAGCCATCCCATAACTGCAAGATCTGGAATAAATAAATAAAAAAACCTCAAATGTTCAAAAGCTTAAAAAAATTTATGTAATGTAAAACCGTCCAAATTTGCACAAAATTGGATAATTACAAACTGCCCTTACATCTAATTTATGTAAAACCGAATAAACGAAAGCTGCGGATTAAAATTACTAATTAAAACTTCCTTCTGTAAATTCATGGTGTGCTACCCGTAGCGCCGGAAAAGAGAAAACGGTAGCGCAGTAAAACGCCGAGCGCCAACGAGCAAAAGGCGAAGAAAAAGAATAAAAAAAAGACGACAAGCCAAAGACAGAAGATGAGGAGCAAAAACTTAAGCAGACCGTCGAGAAGCGCAAAGCAACGATCGACGAATCGAGTTTCGAGCCGGATTACGATCTGGAATCCGAGTCGGATAAAGATGAGTCATCCAAAAAAACCGAGGCTAAAAAAGAGACGGTGGAGGAGAAGTCTTCGAGGTCTAAATCGGACTCTTTCAGCAGCTCGGAAGAAGAGGAAGCACAAAAAGCACCGGAAGAAGAAGCGGAAGGATTCTAGCTCGAGCAGTTCGGAATCGGAGCGATTCGAGCGAGGACGAGAAGCAAAACGGAAAAAACACAAGAAAAAGCAGAAGAAAAGGAAGAAGTCGAAGCATAAATAGCACAGAGAAAAGTTGCTTAAAAAGTTACTGTCGTTTATCGCCGTTTAGGTTTTTTTTTGTATATAGCTTGTCTATTTACTGGAGATGTAGCAAACAAAACATTGTGTTGTAATGGAATTATTATGTATGATAATATCAAATAATAAAAGTGTAAAATTTACTTTACTTTGAATTTCATTTCATTTCACCTACACTTAGTTATATAAGGTACCAGGTAAGTAGTAGCTTAAAAAAAATTCAGTTATTGTGTAACTGTCCAAATTCGCACAAAATTAGATAAGTGAAAACTGCCCTTACGTTTAATTTATGTTTAACCGGGTAAACGAAAACTGCACATTAAAATTAAGGTTTCGGGTAATTTCAAACTGCCAATGGGCAATTAAAAGAAAATGAAATAATTTAAAATCTTGTGGTCTTTTTTCACTTTTCTTTTATTAAGGAGGTTCTGGCAGTACATTGCGGGAAAAGGGGTAAGGGGAGTTGCTTTTATACTTAATGCATAAACAGCAATAGGCACCAACTTGCAAAAACAATTTTCAAACCGATTTTATAATTATTATTTTAGATAGTTGGTTTCTAACGCTTTTTGCTTTAGACAGTTGCAGTGACATTTCTAAATGCAGTGTTTAAAAAATCTTAATATGAGTTGTGAAAATTATAAAAAGTCTAATACAAAAAAAAGATATTATTTTTTTTAAATAGTTTACTTTATAATAGTTATTTGTATACCAAGGCCGCGAAAACACTCTTTGGAGTATCGAGGGAAAAATTGCCGCCGAGGCCGCTTGCGGCCGAGGCAAGACAATCTCGAGGACTCTAAAGGGTTTCGAGGCTGTGGTATACACAAAATTTTTTGGGCAAGTACCTACACGTTTTATTGCTACATTGGAAACTTTAATTATAATATATTATGTGACAGATAATAAATTAAAAATAATTCAAAAATCTAGAATGGTTTCCATGGAAATGGCAAACAATTAAATGAGATATAATATTTGACAGTAAAAGTTGTGTCAAAGAAAAGTAATAATGTTTAATTTTCAAAGTGATAGTGGTACTTCGATAACCGGAACTCCTCCGGAACTAAAAATTGCTGCGAATTCTGCAGTGTCGCAGTTAGTACCTGAAAAATCAAAGAGGAAGTATGAAATATAAATATACCTATAAGTGACATTTACTTTAACGGCCGTCGCTATGACAACGGCCGCGAAATATCATTTCGCGGCCGCCAAAGCGTCCGCGAAATGTTACTTCGCGTACGGTTGCCCAAAAAAGAAATTATGGTAGTCACCAAATAAATCAAACCAAATATTCCTATATAATCACGTGTTCGTAATCTTCTAGACGAGAATGACAGAATGACAGTTTTGTGTTATCTGCTGAAGTAGATGGATCGGCTATCCTTGAGTGGATAATTGAAACTCATCGCATAAATAAGCTGATAATTGCTGAATCCACAAAATCTACAATAGATTGGTAAAGATGCAAGGGATTTCCACAAAGGATGGTCGTAATATTGAAGGACTGAATATATTTCTGCAAACAGCCATGTGGTGCATAGTCGTTTTTTTTTACTTTTTTTTGCCTCGTAACTTCCGCTGCTAATATCGTGATTTTGTATGTGTATGTGTAAAAGTGTAATAAAAGTGACTTCCGCTGCTGATATAAGCTTTATTGAATAAACTCTAAAAAAGACAAAAATGATAGTGATGGACATAAGTGAATAAAAAGACTATAAATGAAAAAGGAATCTAAAAGTGACAAAAATAATAATAATTAATAAACTATAAAATCAAGAAGAAAAGGAGAAGCTATAGGTTATCCTAGACTCGCTTGCTCCAGATAATAATAATAAAATACAGCTGGCTAATTCCCGGAAGGGAAAGGCCAATCAATGACAGATTTATAATTTTGGTTGGACACAGTCAACATTATTATTGCAAAACTGTGCGTTGAAAGTTAACAAAAATTTATAGTGCACTTCTACAGGCATAAGTGGATGCAAGAAAAAAAATGCATTAATTTTTCAATGTCATGTTAGAAGATGTGCATTAATTAAAGAGATATATTTTAATTAACGTATATCTTATAACACGACATTTTCTCATAGCGACTTTTTTTTAGTAAAAAAAACGTTGGACGTGTTGTTTTGCATAAGGTGGGTTAAAGGCAGGGGCGTAGCTACCGCGGTATCAGCCGTATCAATGATACGGGGCCCCCGGCTACGGGGGGGGCCCGATTGGCTTCGACATGCGTAAGCAAAAAACATTACCCACATATTAAAAAAATTGAGGCATGAAATTAAATACATAAATAAATAATATTATTATTTAATTGTTTATACCTACTTAGATTTATTAAATTAAAATTTTCCTCCTGTTCCAAGGAGGCCGTGAACTCATACGAATTGTTTCTGCCCGCACCTTTCCGCTATGCGTTGTCTGCGCTTATTGTTCTGTGCTGGGCATTTTGTTATAGGTTATATTAATAGCAAATTATAAATAATTATTAGCGTTACAATTATTTTAAATGACTTGCCTTTATTTTAAAATAGAAACCTTTTAAAAGATGTTGAAGAACGGTAAATGTCTAAAACCAGACCAAATTTAAAAATTTGCCTTTACATAAAAAGCTATGTATACATAATATGTATTACATACCTATATTATTTATTAAATCATAAAAAATTTGTAAATGCAAAAAAATGATACCCTAAAAAAAATTTTCTTTACCCAAAATAGACTTTGGGCATGACACCCAGAAAATTTTTTGCCAGCAGCTTTTCCCGTATAAGGGCCCATACCAGATATTTGATATGGGGCCCCCAAGAGGCTAGCTACGCAACTGGTTAAAGGTCAAAGAAATAGATATATAGATAAATAAATATAGTTTATGAGCTGAAGAGTAGCATAACTACAATTTTGGTAAATTTATTTTACCAACTCACCTGAATATTTATTTACATTAGCGCGTGATGGTCGATCGGTGCTAAATATTTAGAAACTACGCCTTTAATCACAGATTGACCAATGGTAAAATGAATGTGCTATAATTATGTAATCGGGTCTACAGCCTGTAAGGTACGCTTTGTATTTTCGTAACCCGATTCTGAATACTTGATTTGGCATATTCGTGATCATCTAATTAATTTACTTACTTTATGGGACTCTTACTCTACGTTAAGTATTTGCGTACATTCATTATAACGTTATTTTGAAATTGGTCAGGTTTAATAACCCTGCTGAAAAAGACGGGTAATATCGGATGATTGCGGATAAAAAACCAAGCTAGTTTTATTTCCATTTATATCTGTTTTTATCAGACATATCTGATTTTACCCGGCATGTCGGTTTTTATCTGCAATTGCGGGTATAAATATTATCCGCGAACGTCGGGTTTTATCTATTTATATCTATGTCTGCTTTTATCTGTTTTCATCCGCAAATACCTGTATTTGAGTTTATATCTGCATTCACCCGGTTTTATCTGATTTTATTCGCAAACATCTACTTTAATCCGCAAACGTCTGCTTTATCCGATTTCACCTGCAAACATCTGCTTTTATACGTGAAGATCTACTTTCATCCGCGAACATCTATTTTAATCCACAAACATCTGTTTTAATCCGCAAACATCTCATTTAGTCCGCAAAAGTCTGATTCATAAGATTTCACCTGCAAACATCTGCTTTTATCCGCAAACATCTGCTTTTATCCGCAAACATCTGCTTTTATCCGCAAACATCTGCTTTTATCCGCAAACATCTGCTTTTATCCGCAAACATCTGTTTTAATCTCCAAACATCTGCTTTTATCCGCAAACATCTATTTTAATCTGCAAATATCTGCTTTTATCCGCAAACATCTGATTTTATCTGCAAACATCTGATGTTATCCGCAAACATCTGCATTTATCCGTAAACATCTGGTTTTATCCGCGAACATCTGATTTTATCCGCAAACATCTGATTTTATCCGCAAACATCTGATTTTATCCGAAAACATCTGCTTTTATCCGCAAACATCTGCTTTTATACGCAAACATCTGATTTTATACACAAACATCTGATTTTATACGCAAACATCTGATTTTATCCGCAAACATCTTCTTTTATCCGCAAACCTGATTTTATTCGCAAACATCTGATTTTATCCGCAAACATCTGCTTTTATCCGCAAACATCTGTTTTAATCTCCAA